AGATCTAGTGCTCGTCATCTTAAAACTCCACGACGTCTGATGCCGATGTACAAGCTAAACTAGCTAAAACCTCATCATGCCAAGATTTGTACCTTGCAGAACTTTTCCTTTATCACTGAGTGCTCTTCATCTTCACTAACCTGCGTACCCCAAGATTATCGCTGCAATTGAATTTCTTGATCATGCTATGTTARAACACAGAACACCWTACATTACATGTAACGCCTCCTCCGGGTCATCATCTTAGTYGTTGCACAAGTGCATCGGAAATTAAGGATTACAGTAGTTGCAATACACTCACCTCTCACCCTTACCCGTCTAGGGCTCGATCCCGCCTAGCATGTGTTACTTGGCGGTCTGTGAGAAGGAAGGGCCAAGGAGTATTCGATTCCTGCATGGACTCGCCATCACAAGCTATCACATGTGAGATGTGATTCAAGGGTTTTACCTGCGGTGTCTGGCTTTCCGCCCTCCTGAAAGCCCAACACCTAAATTGCATTTCGATCCGTTAGCAAATCGAACTAAATTAGATAAGTTCGTCAGAGGTTATTTCAGGATTCGATAAAAATTGATCCTTAGTAGGTACAACTGAGACCAAAACTGATACTAGATTTACATTGAACATTCACTGGAACTGAAGTCTTCAGGTTCACTGAAGAACACGAAGCTTTTCGTAGTTCCCTTACAGCAGTAAGCCAAGTTTTCTAAATCTTTATTTCGCGGAATGTCCTATTTATAAGAATATATGGCTTTAGTAGTAGACGCGATCTTCCAAAAATAATTAACGTCAACCTTAAGCAGAATGAATTCATTGCACCTAAAAAAATTCCACAGCACTTCTTTCTTGTTGCCTTAAAACCACATTGAAGTGTCTTTGAAATGCTTTTTCCTTTTTCTCTCTCATAAAAAGGCCTCCAATAAAACCAAACATTCAAATACGTAGAATAAAAATATAATTAGATTTTTAATTAAGCTCCATGCTGTTTATGCTTCATTGTTTGCCAAGTATGCAAACTTGTAAGGATAACAGTAGGAGGCAAGTTTGCTAGGTATCGCAATCCTCAAACTGCAGTTCAACGTCAGACGTTTTCCGTCAAACTTTCCTATATTTTAGCAAGGCGTCATAAAGGCTCGATTACATGGAGCAATTTTCTCTGCAGCTTATCTCGCAACAGCGTTGCGACACAAGTTGCAAAAATGTCTACACGGTGCAATGGAGACGCAACCGCTGCCAAAAGTAGAAATGAATTCTGTTACAGAGAAAATTGCTTCGTGTAATCGCGCCTTAACTAAGTCGTTGCTGAAAGAGACGCCATATTGAACTTAATCGTTGAAGCTGAGTGTTTCTCCGCGTTCACGATCACAAGCGTGTTTCTTCGGCTTGATTCTTAGCGATTATCGGTAAACCTGATGCTAAAGGTCCGTATTTAGATGGTACAACTCGAGCGAATTTTTCTAAAGGGACAAATTTAGAGTAAATCTATGCACGTTTATAGAAAAATGTGGTTATATCTAAAGGGGCGATGAAAAATGACTAGGTTTTAGTACGTCAAGAGAATATTATATTCTCTTGAGTACGTATACCCTCCTCTGAAGAATGATTAGCTCAAACAAACATTTGTAGCGTGTTATTTCATTGCGCAGCTAATAAAATATGTCTTTGACGTCAGTGTGTGTTTGTTCGTTTTATTTTATTTATTTATTGTTAAGAAAAGCGTCACGATCTTAACACAAATATACGTCCTGTATATCAGTCAAAACTCAAGAACCGATCTAAAGCCTATATTTATGATAACGGAGGGTTAAATGGAACAAAGTCATTCCACAAATGCTTATTTTATCTTTTTATTAGTTTTCTTCATTCCCGATGGGCGGTTGAATAATAAATGTTCCAGAAGAGGGGCCGAACGGTGCTGGGGGTATTTGTAGGAGCTAACGTTCCTTAGGAGACCATTTTCGACGAGATTTCAGATAGGGAACCACACTACTCGTGTCTTGCACACTGATTCGACGAATTTCAAAGTAAGTTAACTTGGTTTTTTTAGCCGGTTTTGTTTATTCTTTGATGAAGTACGATATAAACTATTGAACTTAGTGTTGCAATATTTAAAGACTGCATCGAATGAAAGTGGAATAACAGATGGCCGCAGCCTTTATAAGGCCCGTTTGCACCACCAATTTTATCGCTTAATTTGCTAGGTGATTTTAGAGTTTACGGCAAAACTTGTTGCATTTTATGGTATGTATAAACATTCTTTACTACCAGTAGTGAGGTTTAATGACTATTGATTATTGACGTGTTCAGCCTGTATCAGTTTTCCATACTGTACAGACGAACGAGTCCTAGTCACCATAGTTGCGCCGGCATGTTTGATTTCTTCGTTATTTCGGTATCAAAATTGATATTTTTTCACGATTCTTTGTCTTTTCATTTCATCCATTTATTCCTTCAAATCAATTCTTTTAGAAGTATCGGGTATCGGGTTATCGACGTCGAGCGGAAACTATTCGTACTGCTTACTTGGACTTCTGTTCATACGTAGTTCAGCTACACAGCGTGCTAAACTTGCTGTTGATCCACTCGTATCGCAGAAAGATTCGGGAATCGATTGTACCTGGTTTTCACCCTATAAACATGTCTTTATCTGTCAGTTTTTTATTTATTTATTCCGAGTCATGATAATTTGACTACTGGCTTGGAGAACTGATTAATTTAAGCACCCAAAAAACTATAGAACACGTCTAGGCTTATAGCAGCCCAAAACCATAGCAACCCATATTCTCGAACATCTGCGTGATGACTGATTCTTCAAGTCTGTGACGTCACAGCCCAGTAGCGTAGCGAGGGGGGGGGGGGGGGGGGG